AATTTTTTATCTACAACACTTTAAACCAGAAGGCGACAGAGGCCGCAGTACTGCAGGCTGTACTGTAAAACACTCAAAGTAAAAGTCTACTAAGTGGCTTGTCTGATTTTTACCTAATGGCAATGTTTCCAAGACAGCAATTAGCAGCTCACAAACTTCGTGGCCTGGAATGACTTCTCCACAATTCCGTAGAACAACGTTGAAAGTTGCTTGGGACTTTTTTCTGCTGTTCGCAGCTTCTCCGCCATGACATTTGAATCGGCTCGCAGCCTGAAATGTCACGCATTAAAATCACAGTGATAAAAGTTTAACTTCCTATATAATCACTTTTTTATGGCAATTTTATAACTAGAGAGATGAAAGCCCCAACGACATAAATAATACTTGTCCTATTTGTAATTTTATTTTTGAAGGCTTCTCCACATTCTCCAAAGTTCAGCATTGCCTTCATAGAATACTGTAGAACATGTTTTAGATTATCACTTCCATCACTAATCCAAAAAATGCTATTTTAATGCCCGATATCAATGAAAATATCAAATCTTTTTCTCTTCAATAAGCCCTGCTAACTTCCTTCCTCTGTCCAGCAGCATCCATCCAGAATGACTCCATTCTTACCAGGGACGGACTGACAAGTCATGGGGCCCCCGGGCAACAGGGGATCATGGGGCCCCTGTGTCCTCATCCACACTCAAAATCACACCCAAAAAAAGCCTATGAAAGGTACCAGGGGTATCTCATGGGGCCCCCTACTGACCCCGGGCCCTTGGGCAGAGCCCGAGTTTCCCAAATGGTCAGTCCGCCCCTGATTCTTACGGACTGTATTCAGATAACATATCAGCAGAGAGCGGTCTTATAGGACTCTGCCTGGCCTGCCCAAAATACAGTATTTGGGCAGTCACCAGGGCTACAAAATCATGGGTCCTCATACAGCCTACCTGACACACCTACCTAGAATGAGGCTGCACGCTGCGTGTACTGCGCCAAATTGTGGGCGTGGCAAAATTAATTTCCAGTGGGAGGAGTATAACCACTTGCCCTTCAGTGTACATACAGTTGTGGCCAAAGTTATATCAAACCCCCAGCTACAATTGAGTGTTTTGGCCAGTTTGACATTTTTTTCACCCAGCGATTGGCGGTCATAAAAGGGATCTTACATTTACATTAATAGGCACTTGTAGGTCCACCAATCATAACATAGGACATTATGCCCACAAGGAAATGGAACATCAAATTCTTTTCTTTGTGACTCACAATGCATTTTGTCGCTTCCCGTTTCAGAGCCATCATCACCATCTGCAAGTGACATCTCATTTGGTCTTAGGTACTTTAGTTGATACATATATCTCCATACTAAAACTGGAGCACTCAGCTTGTTCAGCTTTGGCAACTAATTCTGGAAGCTGATTGGTTTCTATGCAGAGCTCAGATTTTGCACTTTTTTTTTTTTCTTCGTAAATACCTTCACAGGGCTAAAGATCCTTGATGTCCACTATAAAGAGGACCTGGCACTAATACTAGACTGCATCTTCCTTTCAGCCCCAAATCTGATCGCTTCTCCAATCATTTAGACTTCACCTCTGCAGCATCTCCAAGATACGTTCCCGTTCCTAACCTCGGAAACTACTAAGCATCTTAGTTCACTCCCTTGTTATATGCTCGCCTCTACTATTGTAACTCCCTCCTCATTGGCAAAACCTCATCGCAGCTATCCCCTCAGGTTCAGTGACTATCATGAATCACTGCTGCCATCCACTCATCTACTTTACTGAACCGCTCTGTATCTGCCACCTCTCTCTGCCAATCCTTCCACTGGCTGCCACTAAGTGTCCTCCATCCCTCTCTGCCAATCCCTCCAATCAGTGTCCTCCACCCCTCTCTGCCAATCCCTCCACTGGCCACCACTCAGTGTCCTCACCCCTCTCTGCCAATCCCTCCACTGGCCTCCACTCAGTGTCCTCCACCCCTCTCTGCCAATCCCTCCACTGGCCACCACTCAGTGTCCTCCACCCCTCTCTGCCAATCCCTCCACTGGCCACCACTCAGTGTCCTCCACCCCTCTCTGCCAAATCCCTCCACTGGCCACCATCAGTGTCCTCCACCCTCTCTGCCAATCCCTCCACTGCCTCCATCAGTGTCCTCCACCCCACTCTGCCAATCCCTCCACTGGCCTCCACTCATGTCCTCCATCCCTCTCTGCCAATCCCTCCACTGACCTCCACTCAGTGTCCTCCATCCCTCTCTGCCAATCCCAGCCACTGACCTCCACTCAGTGTCCTCCATCCCTCTCTGCCAATCCCTCCACTGGCTTCCCCATTGCCAAACAGATAAAATTCAAAACATTAACAATAACATATAAAGCCATTTATAATTCTGCCCCAAATTACATCACCAATCTTGTCTCCAAATAACACCCAAACCGTACTCTCCACTCCTCTCACGACCTCCTGCTCTCTAGCTCCCTTGTCTCCTCCTCCCATGCTCGTCTCCAGGACTTCTCCAGAGCTTTCCCCCATCCTCTGGAACTCTCTACCTCAATTTATCAGACTATCGCCTACTCTGCTCACTTTTAGGCAATCTCTGAAAACTTACCTCTTCAGGGAAGCCTATCCTGCCCTCAGCTAATAATGAATCTTCTACTCCTCATACCAGTCCACCCCCCACAGCTACTACCTTTTCTACGACTAGCTCCTCCCTCTTAGATTGTAAGCTCCCAGAATCAGGTCCTCCTAACCCTCTTGTATTGAACTGTATTGTTACTGTATTGTCTCCTGTTATATTGTAAAGCACTGAGCAAAACCGTTGGCTCTATGTAAATTCTGCATTCTTAATAATAATATTACAAGGCAGGCTTGTTTACCTTCTTGTGAGAGCAATAAAATTAATTGTCTTTAAGGGTTTAAAAAACTATTAAAGAAATGTAAATAAATAAATAAAAATAATTATAGAAAATGTAAAAGCATCCTCATCCCTCTGTGCATATATGCAAATGCAAACACACACAAGGGTCCAGCACAAATGTTAAATGGTGATTGCACCACACATGTGGGTATTGCTACGAAAGTCCGAGTAAGAACAATTATTCTAGGGCAATGATTCATGATTAGCTGTAAGTCCCTAATAGCCTGTAAATATATTTAACCACCTTCCGCCCGCCATATAGTACAATGACGGGCGCAAGGTGGTTCTCTCATTCTGATAGGACGTCATATGACGTCCTTCCATTCTCACCGCGCATGCGCGGCTCAGGGAGCGCGGCGATCGCAGGTGCGCTGTGTCCCTCGGACACAGCGGATTACAGAAAGAGCCGAAGATGTCGGCTCGGTCATGTGATCAGCTGTGTCCAATCACAGATGATCACATGTAAACAGGGAAATGTCGGTTATCTGCATTTCTCTCCTCTCAAGCTGTCACGCTGACAGAGGAGAGCCAGTAATCGGCTTTCCGCGGAGGGGACATGTACATTGATCATCAGGGCACTGATGATCAGTGTGGCCCTGATGATCAGTGTGGCCCCAGAAGTGCCACCTGTCAGTGTCCATCAGTGCCACAGTCAGTGCCACCTGCCAGTGCCCATACAGTGCACATCAATGCCACATATCAGTGCCCATCTGAGCTGCCTTTCAATGTCACCCATCAGTGCCAGTCAGTGCCACCTATCAGTGCTGCTAATCAGTGCCACCTATCAGTGCCAGTCAGTGCCGCCTATCAGTGCCAGTGAGTACCGCCTAACAGTGCCAGACAGTGCTGCCTAACAGTGCCAGTCAGTGCTGCCTAACAGTGCCAGTCAGTGCTGCCTATCAGTGCTGCCTTTCAGTGCCCATCAGTGATGCCTGTCAATGCCCATCAGTGCCACCTACCAGTGCCTCCTCATCAGTGCCCATCAGTGCCACCTATCAGTGTCCATCAGTTCAGCCTATCAGTGCCCATCACTGCAGCCTCATTAGCGCACATCAGTGAAGGAGAAAAAGCACTTATTTACAAAATTGTGTAACAAAAACTAAGAAAAAATGTTTGTTTTTTTTCAAAATTGGAGAGGAAGAAAGAGATCAGTGGGTAGCAGGGTATAATATTGTAATAAGCAAATATGCATATGTAACGTTACTCTTTTCAGGGCCGCTGAGTTTTTTGGGTCCTCCTATTCCTGCACAGCCAAGCAACACGCATTTTCCAACTTTCTTGCGTAGAGAAGAGATCTAGGTTAGCTGTGATACTGTCCTAATGAGAGCTTGTTGGATATTGCCTCTGGCAGCCCTCTAATTTGTAGTCCCTGGGGGAGTAGAGGTACTCAAACTGTCCCTTGTATCCTGCTGCTTTGGATGAGACTGCTTCCAGACCTTTCACTGTGCTAGTCTTTCCCAAGCAAGGCAGGCAGTCCTTCTCCTTCACACTGCAGGTTAACTGAGCTCCCTCTTTCCAGCTTCCTTTCCCTCCTCAGCTCCAGCCTGGAGACAGAGCCCACCTTCCCCAGGGGGCCCCTCCCAGGCCTTATGACTCAGCACTCAATCTTCCACCGATTACCAGACTCCCCTGCTGGCTAGGCTCTTTCATATTTATAGGCCCATCTCACCACATTGTCAGGCCTCCTGTCTGGGATTGGTCAGACTCCTATAATCATCATCACCTCTTTGCCTCCACCCACTAGCTTCTAGAATCTTCTGGAAGACTCAAAAACAAGGGGCTACCACAGGTCTGACCACCCTGACCTAAAGTAAACCCAAAAACAATTCCCCAGGCTCACCACACTACTGTGAGCCAATAAATGTTCCTCACTCTTAACTGTACACTAGAGGATGCTCCACTTTCATTCACTAAAAAGATGAATGGATGTCTGCATGATTTTTTATATGTACAGTATATCTAAAAAAGTAATAATCTCTAGGGGGTGCAAGGTGGGCATATGAAATTCACTCTTATGGAGGTTTGTGAATTTATTGAATGGGTCATGTATGCAATTTTTGAATGGATTTCATGTAATTGTAACAATGTCCTTTTTGTAGGGGGAACCTCCTTCAATGGAAACACTAAGGAGACTTATTCAGGAGGAGCTGGGAAAACAGCTTGATGGTAAGTAAGATACAAATAATATTTGTGGGCTCACAAATACTTGTGGACACCACACCCCCACACATGTACTGTTGAGTCCCATAGGAAATAATGAGACTTGCTACTTCTTCTGTGAACACCAGCACTGACTTTTGTTTATAACATCCTCTGCCTGCAGATCAGTCTGCTGAGGAGTACTTTTGAGTTCATGGAGGATTGTGTTGTCTAGAAACATGTTAGCTGTCTTTTGATCTGCTTTTTTGTAAATAGTTGGACAATAGAGACCTTGGATTCCCAAGGATCTTTCATTTGGTGGTCTCTTGGACCTATTACACTTGGATATCTCCAAGACTGTCCTCCTAGTGGGATCCCCTTATTTGTGTTGAGCTGCCATTTGGGCTCAAATGATGACATTGTCCACATTTTGATAACCTGAGAAAATCTAATCCCATCTACCATTACTTCTTGGTCTTATGGGAAATAACAAGACCATATTTGTAGAATGAAAGCACTCATGAGAAAGCCCCATTGTTCCATATGGGAGCCAGCAGAATGTGCACAGGGGCAGCACATACCTTGTTCTCAGGCCTGTCCTGCAGACACATTACTCTTTACATTGTACACCGCAAACAGGATGCTTGAAAACAAAGCAAGGCGAGGGGGCGCTCACGAGCAGCGACACAGGATGGCCATGTGCTAGCTCTACTCCTCACCACCCGGACACATCTGCATAAATAAGACAGACTTGAGGGTCACCTGACTACCCTACAGCCTTTCCTCAACTCCTGGGGTCCCCAGCGCTCTTCATGGGGAAGCGATAGTTGTCCACCTGGGTGGCCAGCACCAAACATACGGGCTGCGACTCGGACGAGGCCTCTCCCCACGACGCCATCTTGGAAGTGCTGGCCTTGAGCCCGGACTCCCCCCTGCTCCTTCCGATGGACGACTCCCTGCCTCCCTCCGTTCCGGAGGACAGCCAGGGAGATCCACAGCCTCTGCCACATGCACCAGCCCTTTGGGATGCAGATCTCCTAGCCCGCTTCAAGGCCATGCTGCAGACAGAGCTCTCAGCGGCAACCACTAAGCTCACCACACATCTCACTAAAGGGAGCTCGGATCCCACACCAACGACCTGGAAAACAAGATGGAGGTGGCCACCACGGTGCTAGAAAACCATGAATAGGACATTAACGACCTGAAAAAAGAACTGGAGAACGCTTTACTCCATCTGGAAGATTTCAAAAATCGCTCTTGCAGAGGGAACTTTCGACTCAGAGGCCTTCCTGAATAAATCACTGATCTCACCTCTACAGCTACTGTTCTCTTCCAGGAATTGGTCCTGGCGATCCCCATATACCGCCTAGAATTTGACCAGATCCACCGAGCGCTAGGCCCTAAAAGACCAGAGGGCCCGCCTCGAGACATTATAATTAAATTCACCTTTTACTGCACTAAAGAAACTCTCCTGAGGGTGGCTAGAGAGCAAATGGACCTGCAGTTCCAAGGCAACTGCTACCAGTTTTTTGCCAACATATCCCAGACCAACATCGTGAAACAGCGCAAGATGAAGCACTACATAATCGCATCAGATACCACTGGGGCTTCCTGTTCAAGCTTGCTTTCTCCTAAAAGGGTCATACCCACACGGTTACCACTCCGGAAGAAGCCCAGACGGTCCTGTCCTCCCTACACCTGCTGCCTTCCAGGGAGAAGCGAGACAGCCCAGTGAGTCCTTCTATCTCCAGATCTCCATCAGCATTGCTCGGCCGTTCCTGGGAAAAGGTCCAGGGCTAGAAGCGTTCACTCCCAAACACCCCTTCAGCAATGAACTTCCCTCGCTTTGATCCGGGCTGAACGGACTATCAACGGGCCATGAGTACTTTCTTTTTGGTCAGATAGGCCTTTTGTCACCAACCCTTCATCCCAGTCTCCACACCAGGGACCCGGGCTCTGGACCCCTCCATTAACCTGTACAATTTTGCATCTCAGTTCCTTATCCCAGCACGCTCCCCCCCTCTTCTCTCCCTCCCTACTCCCTCCCTTCTCTCTTCCCCCCCACTCCCTCTCCCTGTTCTCTCTGCCCCCCTACTCCACCCCCCCTCTCTCCCCCCTCCTCCTTTCCCCTACCCCCTCCCCTACCCCCCCTCCTACCTTCTCTCTCCCCCCTCCTTCCCTCCCCCTCCTTCCCTCCCCCCTACCCCCACTCCCTTCCCCCCTTCATTCTCCCCCTCTTCCCCCTTCCCCCCCCCTCCTCCCTTCTTCCCCTGCCCCTTCCCTCTTCCCCATCCTTCTCCCCTTCCTCTCTTCTCTCCTTCCTCTCTTCTCTCCCCTCTCCCTCCTCCCTTTCTCCCTCCCCCCTTCCTCTCCCCTCCTCCTTCTCCTCCTCTACTCCCTATTTCTCCCTCCCCCCCCTCCTTCTCTCCTCTCCCCCTTCTCTCCTTTCTCCCTCCCCTCTCCCCCTTCATCCAGATGAGTCCTAGTGAAGATGTGGGGTTCTCACCCTTCACCTGTTCGAGACCCTTTGACCATCTACCCACTATCGCTCTCCTGGACTGCGCATGCTCACCGCCGGATTGTGAGCCTGGTGGACATTCTTGTTACAGGATCATTCCAGGACTTTACTCTCAGAGTTTTTGGACCCAGGATCTGGGCCTGTTTGTTGACTGTGATTTTATGTTCTCGTTTATGTAGGGTCTTGTGTGCTGCCCTTAGGGGTGCTGGTATCGCTCTGACTTCACATATACAGATCTTAAATGAATTGAATTGCTATACAAACTAATGTATGATTTTATAAGCCGACCCCAGGCTACTGGTATTATCCCCGTCCCTGCTGGGGAGTTCTCCTCCCCGCTGATTGTGGCTCGGGTCTCCCCCGGAGTGTACGTCTATTTCGGCCCTTTGATTTCATCACATTATAAGATGTCTAACCCTTTGTTTTGCTTTTTGGAGTTATTTACTGCAGGCCTTCCTTTTTTTTATTTCTATATACTCCCTCCCACCATGATGAAGAACTTTCCCCTTCTCTTATGCTTTAAGCTTTTGTTGTACAGTTGCAAGAAAAAGTATGTGAACCCCTTGGGATTACGTGGAGTTTTGCATGAATTGGGCATAAAATGTGCTCTGAACGTCATTCTAAGTCACAACAATAGAAGAACACAGTCTGTGGAACATAATACTACACAAACATTAGATGTTGCCATGGTTTAATTGCACATAACATGTAAACATTCACAATGCAGGGAGGAAAAAGTATGTGAGGCCCTAGCTTAATGATTTCTCCCAGAGCTAATTGGAGCCAGGAGTGAGCCAACCTTGACTCCAATCAGTGTGATGATATTGGATGTGTTGCTGACAGCTGTCCTGCCCTTAAAAAACACACACCTGATTTGGGTTTACTGGTTTCAAGAAGCACTGTCTGATGTGAACCATGCCTCGCAGAAAAGAGCTCTCAGAAGACCTACGATCAAGAATTGTTGACTTGCATGAAGCTGGAAAGGGTTACAAAAGTATCTCCAAAAGCCTTGATGTTCATGGGTCCACAGTAAGACAGACTGTCTACAAATGGAGAAAGTTTAGCACTGTTGCTACTCTCCCTAGGCGTGGTCGTCATTCTGTAAAAATGACTGCAAGAGCACAGCGCAGAATGCTGCATGAGGTAAAGAAGAATCCCAGAGTGTCAGCTAAAGACCTACAGAAATCTCTGGCACATGCTAACATTTTTGTTGACACATCTACAATAAGGAAAACATTAAACAAGAATGGAGTACATGGGAGGACACCATGGAGGAAGCCATTGCTGTCCAAAAAGAATATTGCAGCACGTTTGAAGTTTGCAAAAGAGCACCTGGATGTTTCACAGCACTACTGGCAAAATATACTGTGGACAGATGAAACCAAGATTGAGTTGTTTGGGAAGAACACACAACACTATGTGTGGAGAAAAAAAGGCACAGCACACCAACATCAACACCTCATCCCCACTGTAAAACATGGCGGAGGGGAGCATCATGGTTTGCGGCTGCTTTGCTGCCTCAGGGCCTGGACGGATTGTTGTCATTGATGGGAAAATGAATTCCAGAGTTTATCAAGACATTTTGCAGGAAAACGTACGACCATCTGTCCGCCAACTGAAGCTCCGCAGAGGATGGGTGATGCAACAGGACAATGACCCCCACAGTATACAAGTAATTCAACAAAAAAAATGGCTGCAACAGCACAGAATACACCTTCTGGAGTGGCCCAGTCAGAGTCCTGACCTCAACCCGATTGAAATGCTGTGGCATGACCTTAAGAGAGCGATTCAAACCAGACATCCCAAGAATATTGCTACACTGAAACAGTTTTGTGAAGAGGAGTGGTCCAAAATTACTCCAGATCGTTGTGCAGGTCTGATCTGCAACTACAGGAAACGTTTGGTTGAGGTTATTGCTGCCAAAGGAGGGTCAACCAGTTATTAAGTCCAAAGGTTCACAGACTTTTTCCTCCCTGTACTGTGAATGTTTACATGTTATGTGCAATTAAACCATGGCAACATCTAATGTTTGTGTAGTATTATGTTCAGCAGACTGTGTTCTTCTATTGTTGTGACTTAGATAACGTTCAGAGTACATTTTATGCCCAATTCATGCAAAACTCCACGTAATCCCAAGGGGTTCACATACTTTTTCTTGCAACTGTAGTATTGCTCACCCAGTGTGTGTGTGTGTGTGGGGGGGGGGATTTTCCCTTTTTGGCCTTGATGGCCACTCCTATAGCTCCTCTGGCTTTGCCCTCCCTCCTTGGGAGGGTTGGGAAGCCCAGCCCAGCAACTTTTTTCCTCCCTCTCTCCTTCCCACTCCCCCTCCCTCTCCTTATTTTTGTTCCCTGACCTTGCGGGGGCCCTCGCCCTTCTATCCCTTTAGTTGTCCCACGGGCCGCTAGCAGCCATGTGTCCAGTGGCATAGCTCCCCCACAACTCACATCCATGTCTAGGATGTGGACCACTTTTGAAGTGGCAATTGCTCACATTTTGTCCTCATTCC